TACATAAACTGACGATGTCAGAACTAGCCATTTTCTACTCACCATCTAACTTTAAAATATCTAATCTATGTTCCAGTTCACAGAAATTCACCAGTCTACATTTCGAGTGTCTTCTAATTGGATTTAATGCCAATTGAAAGGAATAAAGAGAACATTAGGACGATAGTTTCGAAGTTGGGTGATTATAATTGATGATATGATTATATGAGCAATAATAGATTGTGTTCGAAACTTTGTCAATCAGTCGATAATACTGTCTCACTCTATGATACATCTAATAAACAAAATAATATGGAGTTACATATTACCACAATGCCCAACTTTCACACATATATTGATTACACAATTTTATTTTCAACTCCAGTTCATTGCAGTTATTTATACGCATGTGTTCTCGCCAAGTGAATTACACCTGTAGTTCATTTATATAAATTTCGAGCCTGACTTCTAATATGACCTTAAATTAGAAAAATATAGTGAACTGGATTTTATTTCATAAATTCCATAAGACTAACTGAAAAGGCATTAGACTGGCTAACTGATTACTGTTTTGTATATTAGGGTGAAGATAACCGGCTTACTTTATTATTGTGATACGCACAGCACTGAACATATTTTTCGTGTGAATCTTGAGTATATACGTAAAATGAGTCCTTCGACATCATGAGAAAATTAAAGGTTCTTTTATAGATCGTCTTAAGGTGAATTGTTATGAAACATAAGAGAAATATAGGTCAATCTGATAAACACTTTTGCATTATCGATGAATGGATTTGATGTTTTACATATAACTTTGAAAACAAGCGTTACAATGTAACTCAATAGACCAGTTACACACACATGGTAACATGATTCTCTAATCTCTACTGTCAATATTCCAAATCTAGAAAAGTTAACTATTCGTACTGTTTTCGTGCACATTCTGAAACTCTGGGAATGCGCATCTAATCCAGTCTAGATTAGCATTCAGATACACAATAAGATTTTCAGATATAACAGATGGACAGAAGAACATAAGCCTCTACATCTGCCTCAGTATGTTACTGTTCACGCGGAACAGCTGCCACTATTCTTGATGTTAATTGTTGTAATTGTCCCACCTTCAGATGACCAAAAAGTTTAAGTATTGGGGCATTAAAGTCTTCATTCTACATGGAAAATCAATCCGTTGATACTTTCGAGAAGCGAGCGTAATTTGATGACATCCTTTAATACAATGCCAGAAAAGTTTCATTCATGATATTTGAAAGGAACTTGTTACTGAAAATTCAGTAAATAATACTGTTTCACTGTGTGATACATCTTATAAACAAACCAATATGAAATTACTTACTACCACAGTACCCAAGTTTTACAAATATAGGAACTTGTCACAGTTTTGTGAAGATTTTTGGTGAGAACATATCACTGATTTCATTTTATATTGGATATTCATAAGTAATCTGTCTTTTGATGAATAAAATTTTGCCTTCTGTCCATACATATATACTCTATACTTTCATTACTCTTGACAGTTTTCCCGTGTGGTAGTCAAACTCTTGTTTTCTTTGTTTTGAAATACAAACTACTTATAAGTAGCTAAATATTATTTGATTAAAGATATCGTTAGGTGAACAAGTTAACTTTTGCAAAATCCTTCCGTCAGTATAAAGATATATATATATATATATATATATATATATATATATATATATATAGAATTATACTGGTGGAAAGAGTAACTCCTTACTGAAGGCGTCTTCTTTTATATGACTTAATTAGGATTTTGCTGTTATATCAAAATTGTCTAGCTCTGGAAACAATAGAAATATAATTGGAACATCTGCATTCATTATTCTCTCTTCGGTTCTCTTATTTTCTATTAACAGAATTGTCTACTTAGTCCATAATATTTATTATCCTGTTTCAGTAATACCACAAAGTATATCATAAGAATTCAGAATGCAAAAATATGAGTAGGACCTTCATTACTGCCTATAATTTGGGGATCACAAAGGTGAAGTAGGAAAATAGCCGCATTCCTCTAAAGCTATTCTGGTTAACTTAGGTTGTCTCATACTGAGACTATCTTCGACACTCTCCCGAAATTATCTTACAGTCGACACAAATGAGGTGCATACCGTAGACCAGTATTATTTTAAGGACTGAGCGTTTCCAATTTCGTAAATAAGACATTATGTATTACCCCAAAACTGAAGATACTCCTAATTTTTCTCCGTACAATTTTTGCATCAAGATTATCTGCTTGATTTGGATATCTGGGGTAACAGAACACGGTAACTGAGGTACAGTCCGAAATAAAAGACGACTATAAGTACAGTGTAAGTTTAAAAAGAAACATAGTAATCTGAGTGTTAAAACCATCAAGTCTCACAACACATGGTCCGTAGTGTTCACAGGAGTCCTAGAATTTTGTAGCAGTGACAATCCTACCAAAAAATACCAAGCAAATCCTACAGGATTTAAAAGTGTTTTATCTCATTATTGTGTAGAATCCAGATATCCATTATTTGTGTTGAAGACTCGAACTTTTATTCGTTACATTTAGTATGCTCTCATGGCGTTTTCGAGTTTCATATCCTATACGGTTGGTCTTTAGAAAAAAAAACAGGTCACGTCGTTGATTAACTCCATGTACACAAATAGTTCATGAAGGTTTTTCTATTTTTCTAAATAACACTAATAATCGTAGTCACAGATTGGTCTTTATTTTGCCATATTTTAATGGATCAAGAGAGCAGTTAAGATAATAGAAGCAATGGTCACTGTATAAATGCGTAGACTGAGTGTTGCTCATAAGGAACAAGCATGAGAAAACCAGACAGGCGTATATCAGGAAGAGGGTGTACTGATCAAATCATCACCCTTTCATAGATTCTGGAACATGGGCACACTTACCGGCGTCCAACAATCGTCTTATTTCTTGACCTGAAAGAGGAATTCGATTCCTTCAACCGAGAGGTACTATGGCGACGTTTGGTTATGGAGGGAATGCCGAGAGAGCATGTTCCACTGATCAAGGCACTCTACTCGAACTCATGCAGTCAGCCAGGTGACAGTCTACGGAGCGTTGTCATCTGAAGTGGTGACAACCAGTGGTCTCCGTTAGCGATTCTTGCTGTCACCATTTCTATTTAATTTTACCATAGATATACTAACCGACTTAACCCTAACTGATTTCAGTGACTCAGGGATTGACTTGCTATCAACAGGGAGTAATCTCGTTCACTTAGAATATGAGAACGATATAGTCCTCTCTCTTAGTTGAGTTGAAGACGCTGGCAAAATAAAGTGGAGTCTTCCTAATGCCTTCCAATGTATGGCATACGACTCGCTCCTGTTAAAGGTAAAATGATGACTGACTCCTAGCTTAAAGACTGGCAGGAGTGAAGTGATTTTTAAAAAATTTTATTTATTTATTGAGGAGTATTAACTGCTTCACTTATTTGGGGTGTTGCATCAGCTAACGCCAGTGGGTTGATCGCTGATGCCATCTCAGCATGGATACAGAAGACTCGTTGGATATATGGCAAATTATGACATCTCTCGCTTAGTAGACATGACATCTGATTGGCTGTCGATCAACGGACGTGTGTACTACACATCAGCAATTCGCCCTGTCCTCCTTCATCGTTGCCTCTTAGAAATGTCCATTGGAAGTGGAAAACATGTGAGGGCTGGCTGGATGTCTTTGATAATAGACACCTGCGTTCTGTCTAAGTGTAATTGGGTGAACAGTACTGAGGTTAGTCTTCGGTCGAGTGCTATGTAAGGAGAGAGATCAATTGACGAGGTTGTTAAGCTACATAGATTGAGATGGTTAAGATATGTGTTACGCATTCCTAGGCATCGCCTTCCTTGATGGGTAATGTTAGCTGACATGGGATCAAGTTGGAAAAGAGACAGTGGTGGCTTCATCAGTCAATGAAATCTACAACAGTTAGTTCAAGCCAGCCAGCGACCTAGAGAGGTGCAGATCTCCTGACTGGCTGGGGTCGTCAGGATGGTATGAACCACTGACGGTTGGAGACAATTGGTGATATTGCTCAAAATCCCCGTTCTCAATGCCTGGTGCAGATATATTCCCTGATTGTGACTTGTCATGTCCAATAAAACTCTATTTTTCCATATTACTATATTACTATTCTTCTTCCCTCACGCCCCCATTCATTATCTTTTTTTAAGCTCCATTTACGCTCTTTTGTGGCTTTGTATGCTACATGGGTGTGGTAACTCGAAGTGCTGCACATCTATGCAAAGTTCTATGTGGGAACCGGTCAGTCAGTCAGTCAGTCAGTTAGTTCCATTTACACTATTGACAAACTGAAATGTTCAGACAGAAATTAGTGGACTGATACACCCGCTACTACTACTGCTCAAAATGCACATTATTGATCTAATTAATTCAACGTGGCCACTATATTACCAGATCAGATGAAGCATATTCATCCAGCGTTAAAATGTAGGTCACGAAATTTTGATAGGATTTAATAGCTTTCACTTTCATCGTCTAAAACACTAATTGTTAGGTAACTGTCTCTGAATTACTGATAAAAAATTTAACCTGAATTCTTAACAACGGTAACTATTATTATTATTATTATTATTATAACAATGGTTGTTATAGTACTTTACATATAAGGATGTAATTTATGTAAACTTAAATCAATAATTTACTATCAACTCTATACAAAATTCATAAAATATTAAATTAATGAAACCTGAATACCACAGAAAAGAAACCATAAAAAGAATATTTAACTCAAAAATATCCAATCAAAATGAATCAATTTTTCAGATGATCAGTAAGTATCTGAACTCATCGATCAATGAAATAACAATAATAATGAGTGTAATTCATGATTCTTCCTTCATTATTATCAATATTGTTTTTCGAGGTGATACACAATTGTTTGTATTGATTGGTAACAAAACATCTGACACATTATTATTTAAATTTTAATACTTCACGAAATTTTAAACAACATTATACACCTGCAATGATGCAATTAATAGATCAAAATCAGTCGACGTTATTTCAAAAAAATGCCAATAAACCATTAAATGTTATCCGATGTAAATTGTCAAGCGTAGATGATCAACCGATAAGTGAAAAATTGAATAAAAACTGGACAATGAAGTCATTGGTAATGATTTGAAATCAATTTACTTTTTCTTCTGTCTTATGTTTGTTTTAATTCTAATCGACATGATTATTTTTTCTCAAAAAAAACAGTTTTATATTGGTTATATTTACTTTTGTTGTTTAGATAAAGCAATAAAAAGACGTAATTTGTCTGAATCGTGTAATGTTATTCCGTCCACAATACATTCCGAACAATCTGATCACACACGAACTTGTCATAGGAACGTATATGAAATTAATAAAGAGTTAAGAGGTGAGAAAATAGACTACTTAGTTCAAGTTAAAATGACATATTGAAGGTCAAAATAACAATGCAGATCACCAAACCAAATAACAGAGGTAACAGAAGACAAGGCAAGCAATAGATTGTTTATTTACGAAATCAACAGATATTTATAGATTTTCATGTACATTATTATAGATTATTGTAAGCGAACAAACACAGTCTTCTGATTGGTTGTTTCTCACTGAAAGTTAATCTTTCATCTCTTTGCGGCTGTTTATTGAAGATCAGATTATCTATCTGTAAATTGTATCCGCCTACTCAAAGTCTGCTATGGTTGGTTGTTGAATCAGTCTTTGTTCCTATTTTTCTCATGACCAATAATGGGGACTTAAACATTGACGTAAATTACTGTCTGCCAATTTGACTAGCAGCCAGCTCTCACCACAATAGTACACCTACCCTGGCTGGTATCAAAACAAAGTTTACCAAGGAAGATGGGTTTAGTGTGATGACGAATTGTTTTTGAACGCATAAAGGTGGTTTAAACTTTCTAATTGCTGGGACTTCCAGAAACTTTAGGATACGCCCCAAACACGTTTTATAGATAGCTTTAAAAGATGTGTTAACTTCAATTTTATTTCCTGTCTCTATAATGTGTTTCTCAGTAGTGGAGCTAGGACTGCTGTTTTCACCATTAACGGTTCTTACGATTCTGTTTGTTTCTAGAGTCATTCAGGAATATGCTCTGAAGCCGTTACTTGCAGAGATCAATGACTCCTCCCTCCTGTGTATGTGTGCCTACACGTACATTGAAATTGGTAAATACACTGGGATGTGATATCATTTTTCGCATGTTCGAAGGGCTTTGACAGATATATTGGCCTCATATTCTCAATTATTATGATATTAGCTGCATAAAAAGTGTTTTTAACAGAAGCGTTCAGTCCCTGTCTGGTTATCAAGGTTCTTTGATGCCCATATAGGGTAGCTTGTACACAAACTCTGGTTGATAACAATTATCTGGACAAGTTCATCAGGAGATGTAAAGCAGTTAGAACACCAAGACCCACTCTACAACTCGCCCCTAAGAAAGACTTGTACACATATTGTAGGGACAAGACATAAAATTGACGTTAACACATCTTTTAAACATATCTATAATACGTGTTCGAGGAAGGCGTATCCTAAAGTTTGTGGAATCCCTAACAATTAGAAAGTTTAAACCAAGTTTATCCGTTCAAGCCAACAATTCGTCATCACACTAAACCTTCCTTGGTAAACTTTGTTTTGATAGAAGCCAGGGTAGATGTACTATTACCTCTGTTATTTGGTTTGGTGATCTGCATTGTTATTTTGACCTTCAATATGTCATTTTAACTTGAACTAAGTAGTCTATTTTCTCACCTCTTAACTCTTTATTAATTTCATATACGTTCCTATGACAAGTTCGTGTGTGATCAGAATGTTCTAAATGTGTTGTGGACGGAATAACATTACACGATTCAGACAAATTACGTCTTTTTATTGCTTTATCTAAATTCATAAAGGGAAATAATTGTTTTTAATTTCTTGTTTAACTGTTTGAAGGCAACTGAAGGACTCACTTTCTGTAACTCTGATATGTATTTCTAGGAATACTGGTGTAAACTGAACGTCTGGGGTCACTGAAAATGTATCGATTTTATGACATGTTTGGATTATATATATATATATATATATATATATAATTCCTAATGCGTAACACTCACTATTATCCGTTAATCGATATAAGAGGTTGTTGGTTCAACAGTAAAACGCTACCCAACTACGCGTGTAGTCTGCGGTACGATTCCCAGTCACAGACGCACTCCTAAGCCTCGCTCAGCTATCTGTAGTAAGGCCGCTGAAGAAGGAAGATAGGTTGCGAGGCTTTCAGCCACACCTTGTAAAAATCAAAGCACTATTATGGAAACTTTGGAGCTCAAACTTGAGCCAATTTGTTCCACTTAGAAAGGTGAGGAATAAAATAAATATAAAAATAAAATTAATGAAACCTGTATAAGATTAAAGCAAATTCAGTACATAGATTTAACTGACAGGTAATAGTGACTAACTGATTCATTACGCTTTCTTGTATGTGCTGAAGTAATGTATGTATTCCTTTATCCCTCTTAAATCACACCAGTCAGTTTCAGCTTCCGGCTAGTATTTGTCATTGACTAAGACGAAAAATAGAACTACTGTAAACCTCAAGTCTTTGGGAAGATATTTCAATGTGCTGTGAAAATACTCATCAGAGTGAAAGCACAATGATAGTTGATCGTAATTAATATAGTTAGGTTTCATAGTGAGGATGTTGACGATATTTAATCGATTTTTACCATGTTCACTGCTCATATTGTCTTGCTTATACTTGTTATAGGAATCTGTGGTAAGTGCTTGACATGATTGACTTCCAACTACTGCATACTTCAGTGTCTGTTGGTAGAGTATGATATATAACGGTTATATCATTTTTATTAGAAATTAAAAAAAGATAGCCCATCGGATTCCAGTTGATCAGGTAGCTGCATTGTGACTGTTGTGGATATGACTCTGAAAACTGTTGTGAATGCATACTGATAAGGAGTAACAAGCCAGAAAAGAATACACTTACTGAATGCTATGCCTCCTTTATTCACCAGCTAAAGTCTCCCATTTGAACTTACTTTCAGTAGAAAACTCCATGAATTTGAAAACGAATTGATTATAAGAGAAGAAAGTGAATTCCGTCCGAAAACTTCAGTTTAAACTTTTATAAAATCAGGGGTATTCTTGATTTTAATAAATCTTTTGACATTTTGCGTCTAAGTGCTCAACTTCACCGTAGAATTCACTGTAAGCCAAGTGCAGGAGACGAGCCTCTAGCAGTCAAGTTATAGTAGACAACATGTTTAGTCCTATTTTGAGACTCTGTAGAAGCGTACACCTGACGTCAACCTTCGAGTTGGTGAAATCCTCATTGATCACCCTATTAAATATCATCCAGTCACTTACTCATTATTGATTAATTCACAGATGGAATTCTGGGAGCTGTGAAGAAAAACTATGTCCTGTGGGCTTAATTAGTCTTTATGTGATAAAAGGATGGTGTTCACGTTGTTTAGCGAAATGACAGAAGCATCCCATCATTGACAGATTAATGTTGAAGTGGTGATTGGAATATCTGGCGCCCCCAGACTTGACATCTTACTAACCAGTGGATGCGTAATAATGCGTAGTTAAAATGAAACCTTGGGCCGCAAGTAAATTAAGAATATTAGTTCATAACAGAGGACAAGGCTCACTTCAAATGCTATACTAGCAGGTTCATGAGTATGGTGGGGAACCGTCTTTCACAAACCCATTTTATTCACAGCAAAAACAGTACCTGAAGAGTAATACGATACATAAATGGGTTGTTTTTGTTGATGAATGTAAAGTAATATGGATTATGTCTTGTGAAATAAGCACATACATTCATGAAGAGCGTATTGTTTGCTCGTTAGCCACTGCCTAAATGGCCTGTGTAATACTGTCGTGACAGCTGGCTGCTAGTCAAATTGGTAGACAGTAATTTACGTCAATGTTTAAGTCCCCAATAGTGGTCGTGAGAAAAATAGGAACAAAGACTGATTCAACAACCAACCATAGCAGACTTTGAGTAGGCGGATACAATTTACAGATAGATAATCTGATCTTCAATAATCAGCCGCAAAGAGATGAAAGATTAACTTTCAGTGAGAAACAACCAATCAGAAGACTGTGTTTGTTCGCTTACAATAATCTATAATAATGTACATGAAAATCTATAAATATCTGTTGATTTCGTAAATAAACAATCTATTGCCTTGCCCTTGTCTTCTGTTGTTACAATATGACGATCCTGGTGGCAATATTTGGCGAGATCAGTAGTACTTAGTTCTGAAGACTGATGAAGTAGGACCCAGCAGCAATTTATTATTCCATAGTTTCTAACTATTCTAAAAACAGGTCTTGGTTTGCAGGGATTTGATTAAGCTTCACGATTTCATCATGAAATGACATCAATTAGAGGACCATTCGAAAACCAGCAGGTGGAAATACATAAATCTTTTAGCTGGAAGTATGTATTCCATATTATACAAGTTTTTTTCATGCAACATACGATGATAAAGCATTAATAACCGGATAACCCTCTGAGGACAGTTTACTTGTGGCAATCCAAGGAATGCATTCATACAACTTCATAACATACTTTATATAGCCTTACTTTCTCTTACTTCGTTTTGAGAGTTTCCGCATATTCATTATAAGCATTGTGTCATTTCGATTGCAAGTGTTTACGAATATAATAAAAAAAATTCTACAGCTAATGTAGTCAGCTGAATAAAATTGTTTCTCGGTCAGTCAGTCGAAATGATTAAATTGAATACCCAGAATTAATAATCCTAGTAGAATGAATAGTATCATTGTAATACATAAAGTAGGATAGCTTATTAGGCTGATAGGTGAGTTTAGGAACATGCCAACGTATGAACTATTTGAATATTTAGCAACATCATCAATTTGCATTACTAACCGATCAGATTCTAGGCTAATTAATTCATAAGTGATGGAATTCAAATGAAAAAATTGATTCGTTTTGAAGTGATCTATTTAAAAAAAACTAATATTCAGATTGAGGCAGCTCTGTAAGTAGTTAGAAATTAGCCAAACACTGATGGTGAACTTAGGTCTCGGTTAAAAAGATATTAGTTGTTCTCTTATGGCTAACGTCCACTATATTCAAATTTTGA